AATTTTCCTTACGATTCTGATACAATATGCAGCTGCTCTACTTTGCTCAGAGAACAAGAAAGCCTGTAAAAAGGATACCATTTACTTCCTCATATTTTAAATTGAAAAGGACATACAGTCCTAGAAGATAAAATTACACTTTTTGCCAAAACATCGTCCATTATTTAGGACCAGACCCACCTATGGAGGAAAAAACACAATCTCCTGATAGACTAAAGACCATCAAACTTATTCTAGACCCCTTGCTAAATGATATTTGAGAGAATTTCTAAGTTTAACTGGATATTGCAGAAGAGTGCCAAATTTTTTCTTAGATTTTCGTACTTAATTATGAATTAAGTCCTCAGAAAGAGGCCTGCTCCTCTGGGAATGCAAATATGAAAAGGCCTTCTAAAATTTGAAGACAGTTCTTCAACAGCCTCCTTTCTTAGGCGTCCCTAACTACAAAAATCCCTTTGGTCTACTTGTGCATGAACAATCTGGACAAGCGCTGAGATCTTAATTCAACTGTATAGGAGTCACCACAAACTCACCACTTACTGTAGCCTCACCCTTGGTCCCATTACAAGAGCTTAAGCCCTTGTATATCTTAGGGCAATAGCTGCTGCAACCAAACTCATTCATGCCTGTGATGAACTAGTTTGAAGCTCCTTGCTTGACACCACAGTTTCTCATCCAGCACAGAATTACTACAGATTGAGAACACACTATGTTTCCCAGCCATCTGATTAATTGCTTAAGAGATTCTGTCACTTTCTCCCTCTCCTATTACTATTTACCACCAAAACACTCTGAGTCCTGCCATTCTCCTGTCCCTAAAGGAAGCAAGGGAAATCTTATCATTCTCTAACCTCAGTTAGGGAGCTGTCTTTATTTTACTGAGGTGTAGAAGAGACTCTCAGCAAGAACTTGGTCCAAATATTATTTGTTAATGGATCACACTTAAATCAGAGGGTAGCAGTTATCAAGCAGGATATACTATCACTAATTTAAGCTCTTCTTTAGAACATAGTTCTCTACTTCAGGTCAAATAAACCTGGAGGGCAGAACTTATTGTATTTACTAGAGCATGTAAACTGGCCAAAGACCAAAATGTAAATATATGTATGATAACATGTATGCTGTTGGAGTAATACTTGACTTTAAGATGCTTTGAAACAGAAGGTTTCTCATGTCCTCTGACATCCTCATTAAAAGTAGGCAAGTTAAGGAACGTTTAGATACTACTACTTCCTAGTGAGTTAGCCATTATATAGGTTGAGGCCCATAGAAGAAGAGCTGGATTTCATCCAGCTTCCACTCTCCATGGAGTTTATGTTTTAGTTATTATATGTCTATTTTCAGCATGTGTTGACGTTGAAGTATTTCCTTGCCAAAAAGCTACAGAACTTATAGTTGCTACAAAGCTGCTTGATTTTTTGTTTCCAACCTGGAGTATTCCAATTTGTATATATTAAGTTACTGAGACACACACTTTACAGGAACCGTTATAAAAGAATGCTGGAAGGAATTATCAAAGCTGAAGACTACACTGCTTTTTTCCATCCACATCTTTTGGAAAGGCACCCTTAAATTAAAAGTAATATAATTATAAAACCTTTTAATAATCCTTTTTCTCTCTTGACCAAAGGTATTTCTACTAGCCACTATGGCTGCATGATCCACTCTTGGAAACAATCAGTTGTTCCCTTATTAACTGGTGCCCAGTCATGAATTAATAGATTTCATCTTTAATCTAGATTCTGCCCTGTCACATGAAGACATGGCAAAATACTGCAAGGGACTCATGTACTATGTCCATTTCTACTGCCAATATTTTAAGGCCATTCTCTCACACATCTACCTAAGCAAAGTTTTCATGACTTGCAATGAGGAGATTTCATCTACTGTAAGAGACATAATAGAAAAACTGCACTCAAACCTCATTGGAAGGCACTTTAACAACAAATGCAGGAGTGGGACCCCTGGAAATTAATCCTTGGGTTTCTGTTTTACAATGAAAAAAGCAATACAGAATTCCATACAGTTGGAAGGCTATTATATGTTAATATAGAACCTCAAACAGGAGTTTCAGAGATTCCCTAGAAGCAGGTGATCTTTGGAAGTAGTCGTCTGACCTGAGACCATGAGAACAATCTTATGACCTCAGATAATGGACAGCTTCCCTTTTAGACCAAGACCCCTGTGTAATTCCTGTTTTGTTTTTCATCTGCTTGCTTGTAAACACTTACCTTCTCACGTTCTATAGAGCCCTGATTGTTGTCCACCCATAATGGCTTCTTTTTTTATTTTAATTCCTCTTTATGATAATGATTAGGTTGGAACATTCTCATTCAAACTCATTCTTTGATTATTCCAAACCATAGCCCTGCCTTCAACTTTACCAACTTTTGGATATGCCATTAATCAATGGACCCCCATGATATCTTAGGGCAATTTCAGTCTCACCAAATAAGGCCATAAGGAACTACTGATTGCATTTCCATTTGTACCTACAAGGACAAATGTACTAAAATGAACCAACCTATAACTTTGCCAGTGTCCTTCTTTCCCCCAGAAAAGGAATACATTGTTACAATCTATTGATTGGAACTTAGGTAATATAAATTTGAATTCAGCAACTTTCTTAAGATGATTGGCGAAATTCTTGCCACTTGGAAGAGACTGATAAAGATAAAAATGTGTGACCAAGCTAAAGTAAAGCATTGATTCTGACCTCATGTCATAAACAACTAATTTTTTTCCTAAGTGTCCATGTGCCAGTATCATATACTTCCAGGACTTTCTGGTCATCTTTTCCTCAGACTAATATCTTCTGCACTTTAGAAATAATATTCTGAGGCTTGTCAGTACATAGAGATTCTAATTCTGTAAATCACCAGGGCTGGAAATTCTAACTCAGTTGATAGCTCCATCATAAATTCTTCATTTGGGGGAATTACTTACTCATTGTTTGTGTGAGCAATGAAAGGAATATTCCCAGTGGTGAGACTCAAACAAATGGAAAATATTGAAAGAAACTTAGAACTAACTCAGCAGAAGTTATTAATTAATGTGCCCCTTCTGCCTTATATAGAGTACAGATCACTCTCAACTTGTTGGCAGGAGTGTTGATGGACAACGTCATGACTCTAAATTTCTTGTTGGCTAGTCAGGGTGGTGTTTGTATCATTGTTATTACTTCTTTTTTACTTAGATCCATGAAGCGGGCATAGTCAAGTAGGCTACACTACACCTTAAAGAAAAAGTGACTTGATGCTCTAAGATTGATCCTCATCGTCTCTGGGATTCATTCCATTTACCTGAGTTAGGCAATTGGGGTTCCTGGGTTTAGCTATCTTAGTGGGACTATTACTTATCTTTGTTTTGGTCATAGTGGTTGTAATGCTAGTTCATTATATTCTATCCAGAGTCTTAAATGCTTTTGTGCAGCAGCTCTCTCATCAAATGATTGTCATGATGATACAGCAGTAAAAAGATCAAGAAGATCTTGTGATACAGTTGACTATGGAGACAAGCAGACAACCTCCCATCAGTGAAGCTCTGCATTTCTGGTCTTCCTTGCATTGACCAACCTCTTGCAAGTGAGAGAATGACTGAAAGGGGTGACTGAGGGACATTGTCTGGACAGTGACCAGATCATATATGGCAATAGAACACTGACCCCCAACCTCTCAGGCTATTATTGATCCAGGAAAGCAAATCACGACCTTTGCAACAATTAACCCCAAACAGTCAGAACTTTGTCAATGACTGCCAGCTTTCCTATTTGTGGCTTTCACTTCTAATTCAGGACCAACCAGAGAAAACCAATATACTCCCTGTATTAGTCTGTTTTCATACTGCTGATAAAGACATACCTAAGACTGGGTAATTTATATTAAAAAAATAAAAGAGGTTTAATGGACTCACAGTTCCACGTGGCTGGGGAGGCCTCACAATCATGGTGGAAGGAGAAAGGGGAAAGGCACATCTTACATGGCAGCAGGCAAGAGAGAACTTCTGTAGGGGAACTCCTCTTTATAAAACCATCAGATATCATGAGACTTATTCACTATCATGAGAACAGCACAGGAAAGACCTGGCCCCATGATTCAATTACCTCCCACTGGGTCCCTCCCACAACACATGGGAATTATGGGAGCTACAATTCAAGATGAGATTTGGGTGGGGACACAGCCAAATCATATCACTCCCTAAAAAAAAAAAAAAAAAAAATCACACAATATGTCCCATTTTTATAGCCTGTTTCCAGCTTCCCCATGCCAACAACTTCCAATTAGAGCATACCTGAAGACTCCCCCTTTTCTGTCTCTCTCTCTCTTTTTAAAAAATTAACTATAAAGCTTTCTTTGCCTCTTCTGCCTGGGTTTGAGCCTCTGTCAAATGGAAGTGATGGTGGCTGATTCCTTTGCTATAGTAAGCTTTGAATAAATAGCCTCTATTTTTCTCATTTTGGTGGTCTGTGTTTCTACAAGAAAAAAGTAAAATCCTCTTGAAATTGTATACGATGATTAAAAAGACTTAAAACTCAGAAAACCTCTACAACTATTCCATAGAAAAACTGAGTTATTATTAATATTCAATGAATGATTTTGCTTCATGGTGATATGTTAACAGTAAGGTCAGATAATTTCTTTTTAGCAGGGCTTTGTGAAAGAAGGGCCCTGGGGATCTGAAGGCAGAGATGTTTCTCTCTGAAATGTATGAAAAATAATCAAAGAAAGTCTGGAAAGAGAGGGGAGTGGGTTGCAGTGTATATATCGTATACACTGCTCTGAACCCCACAGCACTAGCTACAGACTGAATAATTTCTTGACATTTGTACACAAAGCAAGCTGTACTGAGCTCATCCACAGGTGGTGTGCAATTCAGATTTGTTTCATCCAGTAATCTCTGAGATAAACTGTTGTGTTGAGTAAATAAGTGGTTATATCTTTGCCTGAGACACCGATGTCAAAATTTCACTTCTTGTATCTTGTTTACTTCTACGTTTTCAGGTAAAAAATTTATTATAGTGATAAAAAGAAGATGTTGTACGATAAAGGATGTCATCTTTCAAGAGTCATTATGACAAATTATTAACACTACAGTCACTGTGTGAGGTAAGTTTGCAACTCCTCTAAGGTTGCATAGCTTTTAAGTGGCAGAGCCTGGATTTGAACGATGTTTAGTCTGAGCTGTTAACCATGCCGCATAACATTGCCTCTACTGCCCAGTAGGGGGCACTCATTAGCTTGCCCTTCATTTGCCAAGTACCCTTGTGACCTTAGGCAAATTATTAAATTTTCTTAATTTTATGTTTTGAAAGCTGTAAATGTGTAGATTGGACTTGAGTAGCTTAGGTCAGGGGTCAGCAAACTTTTCTATAAAAAACCCGGTAGTAAATATTTTAGGCTTTGCAGACTATGTGATCTCTGTAACAACCAAAGCAGTCATAGAAAATAGTAAACAAATGAGCATGTCTGTATTCAATAAAACTTTGCTGACCAGGTGCAGTGGCTCACGCCTGTAATCCTAGCACTTTAGGAGGCTGAGGTGGGTGGATCGCAGGGTCAGGAGTTCGAGACCAGCCTGGTCAATATGGTGAAACCTCTTCTCTACTAAAAATACAAAAATTAATTGGGCGTGGTGGCGGGCGCCTGTAGTCCCAGCTACTCTGGAGGTTGAAGCAGGAGAATCACTTGAACCTGGGAGGCGGAGGTTGCAGCAGTGAACTGAGATCACGCCACTATACTCCAGCTTGGGTGACAGAATAAGACTCCATCTCAAAAACAAAACAAAAAACAAAAAAACTTTGCTTATAAAAACAGGTAGTGGGCGCATTTAGCTTGCTGGTTGTATTTGCTGACCCTTGGTTGACTTCTCTGTAAGTAAGCCTCTCTCTTCTTTGATAAGCAGGGAACAATGGAAGGAAATTAACATTGACTGAGCATGTGCTATGAACTAAGCATTGTACTCAAGACTTTTATAGTTATTTCATTTAATCCTCACAATTTAATCTCTATGCTATAGAAAAGAAAGTGGAGTTTCAGGAAGCCGAAATAGATTGTCCACAATCACACAGCTGGTGGGAAGTACAACCTTCTGACTCCAAAGTCTCTTTCTTCTCATCATAGCAGCTTCTCTTCTTTGCCATCCATATATATGCCTTTCCCAGCATCTCTGGCCACCCTTGCTTCTGACTTTCTATTAAGAATGTTGAGAAAGAAATAACGATAACAGCAGTTAAACTTTATGGATGGATATTATTCAGTCCTCATGATACATATATATATATATATAGTTATATCTCCATGAGAATCTCATAAAGCATATTTTCCCCATTTCATATATAGGGAACGTCAAGGTCACAAAATGGAAATTGGCAACTCTAGGAAAAGAACTCCCATTTCCTAACTCCTGATCCCTAACTAGGACTTTATTTCTAGTCAACATTGTTTAATTAACACAGGAGAATATTTTCCTTTCTCTGAACCTCTCGAAGTACAGCTGCCAAGTCAATTCCGACCAACAGAAGTAGCTGAGACTGGATTAATGGTTTTGGGGGGAATATCAAATTCAATGCAACAAAATTCTGTTAAAGCAATATGGATTGGTGTCCAGGAAATATCAGAAACTCTTGTGCTTTGTCAACAACTTGGCTATTAGGCGGACAGCCACCTGGATTTCTCTTTAAGGAGTTCCCCACATGAAAAATGGCTCCTCAGAACATCTGACTCTTAGATTGACCAAAATTCTGGTCAGGAAGAAACCTCTGTCTTTGCTGACAATTTCCAAAATATAAACACAGAGGCTTGAGGCTAGGAAATCTTTTCATTTTTTAAAGCTGTGTATTGAAAGAGAGAACCTGGGACTCTTCCCTGGTGACGCTACTGGAAACTTTTCAGTGCTTTTTTTTTTTGCAGCCCCATTAGAGCCAGTTTTCAGCTTGGATTTCAGGAGAGCTTCTGAGGAAGAATAAGCATGCCTATCTCCTAGTCTTCCCATTTGTGTCCTGGGCCTCTTATGGCTTTGGTCTGTAAGCAGCAGAGACTGGCTCAGGCTGATAAAGAAGAGAAGAAATTTATTAGATGGTATTGGGCAGCTCATGGAACAGTTGGAAAGCTGCAGAGCAGGTGTGAGGTGAGGGCTAGAGTGGAATGATCTGATGAGCAAAGTGCTCCCTGATCCTCCAGTATTGCTTGACTGTGTCAGGGTCTGACATTGCAACCTCAGACATTGAGGTGGGAGAAAGGGAGGATAGGAGAGGAGAGGGGAGGAGACGGAAGGGAAGGGTAAGAGAGGGGAAGGGAGAAGAGAGCAGAAAGACAACGCAAGGAGGGAGATGTCTCCTTGTGTCCCTAAGATCTTGATTCAGTCCTGTGCCTTAGATGCAAATGAAACCAGGAAAGCAAGTATCTAGCATTCCTGCCTCTTTAAGGAGAACCAATTTTATCCTACAGTGAGACTCATACTGGGCAGCAACAAAAATGACTAATGTCCATGACAGTTTTCTGCCTCAAAGCATCATCCTTCACCAACCCTTGCTCTCCAAGGAACCCTCTAGCAACATCCTCTCTGGATACTGAATGCTGAACCCTTCCTTCTTGTCTTCTAAACCTCAGAACTTTCTCTCTTACAAGTGCTTAATGGGTCATCCACAGAAGCCTGGCATCTCTGTTGCAGAAGCACCTGAATGTTCATCTAGGGCAATGTTTTGAATATGCTCCGGGGAGCCACAGGGCTTCCTCAGACACCCCATGGGAGTGAAGGCCCTTTCCTCCCTCCTCCCACCACACACAGCCTGCTGTGATTTGGAGCAGGTAAGTTTTGAACTGTTTTGCATATTGGGTTTTTGTTTTTTTGAAGACAGATTCCAAGGCTAAAAAAGTCTTATAGGTGTAGCCCATGCCCCTCTGTCATGTCTTGCTCATCTTTGTAACCCTGCACCTACCACAGGACCTGATGCTACAGAGGTGCTTCGTAAGTATTTATGAATGGAAACAAATGCATATTTTGTTCGCGCATCCATTCATCTACTCATTAGAGAATCACTTGTTCAACTCCTATTAGGTCGCAAGGACCATTTTTACCCATCACTTTCATTGACTGTCAGTCTTGGGTTAGCCAGTGTATATGACTAGAAACATCCTATTCCTCTCCCACTGCACTGTCTCTGTGCAACCCATGCTGAATCTCAGGCTGTATCAGCCTGAGTGTTAAAAGTTAGGTCTTATTAATAGTAACAGGCATTATTATTATTCTTGGCTTTACTCCCAATCTGATATTGCACAGTTTCTCTAGTTTGGTGACCTCATTTCTCTTTGAGGCACGGTCTATTGTAAACTTTGTCTCTTACTAACACACAAGATAGAAGTGGTGGGAAGAGAGCCTTTTGCTGCAAAGATTATGGAGCTTTAATAGAATATATATCTGAAAGTGCTTTGAGGAAAGGAAACTGCTCTTCAAGGGTCAGAGGTTGTTATTAAGTAGGGCTGCCTGTCAGCCAACTGGGTACTTGTAAAAAATTTAGGATGCCAAGGAGAAGATACTCGCCAGAATAATTTATGCTGTTAATAAAAAAACACTTTGCATTCAAGTCTCAGTCAAACCTTAGTCTTTCCCATGGGGAAACCATTAGCTTGTTGGTAGTAACTTTATTTGGTACTACTATCATTGTGCCAGCTATGTGAGCTAGACCATGGCCCTTTGCTTCATTCAGCTAACATTTAATGAATGCCTTTTAATGTTTTATTTGCCCATCCATCCATCCATCCATCCATCCATCCATCCATCCATCCACCCACCCATCCATCCATCCATCCGTCCACTAATTCATTCAACAAATACTTACTCATTAAACAAATACTTACTAAGTCCCCATATGTGCTAAGGATCAGAAATACATGAAAAGTCAAGAATCCTTGCTGTATCTATGTATCTATGTATCTATCTCTCTATCTATCTCTCTATCTCTCTATCTATCTATCTATCCATCTATCAATCATCTATGTATCTATCTAGTTTGTGTGTGTGTGAGATAGAAATTGCTTTCAGATAGTAGATCAGGTCATCTTCTCAAGACGTTCCATTAGAAAAATTATAATAGTGTCTGAGAAGGAGAAGACCTTTTTTTCATGCATGATATGTAAGCAGCTTTAATTGTCTGGTAGCTTTTACAATGCTCTACTGATTCCTGAGTCGTCATATGCTGTGTAAGCCTCATTAAAGGCTATATAAACCCCTTTTGAGCTTTCTCACAGCTAGGTAATTATGCCTTGATTGATGGAAAAGTAAGCACACCTTGATTGCTTATGTAATTTTGAATTAATTGCATTCCTTCCAGATTTGTGCGTTATTGAAAAAGATGCTTATAGACTGATTCTAATTAATGTATAACTTTATGATATTCATAGAAGCTTTAAACACTTAAGATATTACAGCTCCCCAGGTTCAATTCATTCATTCATTCATTCATTCGTTCGTTTGTTCAACAAATATTTATGGAAGTTTTAATATGTAGAAGGTGCTTTGGGAGTGGGTGTGGTAATGTAGTGAATGCATAACACTTGGTACCTACTTCCTAAGGTGGCAATGAAAGGTGTACAAATAACCACGAGGTGAAATGGTGATAAATCTGGTCTGGTTTTCTGTTGTCATCTTCACATGTATCAGTCCATGTGATTTTTTTAAAGAAAATAAAAAACCACTTTGAGGAAATTTCATGTAGGGAATTGGTTACATGGCTGATGGAAAAGAGGAGAAGTCAGTGAGGGCTGGTAAGACCACAGCAGAAAGTTCCTGCTTCCTGTAGTCCAGACTAAAAGGAGAGAGTGTTTCTGAAGCCCTAGGGCAGAGGTCACCAGAGAAGGCTGGACCATGGCAGACCTGGCGGATGGGAGCTGGAGTCATGGCAGTGATGCAATGATATGGCTCTTAAGCATAGAGACCAAATGAGGGATGCTTTGGCCTCCCCCTTCCTTTTGCCCTCTAGTCTCCTCTAGCCCCTGTGGTAAACAGAGGAGAAAGGCAATGAATGGGTCTGAAGGCAAACTGGCCCAAGACTTGCAGAGAACTCTAAGACTGATGATGGCCTCATGCACATTACACTTGAATGTAGAGAAAGTATTTATATCATACAGAAGCCACACACAAAGCCTGCTGTTGCCTAAGGGAACCTCAGTCTGTGTGTACCTGTGTGTGTGTGTCTGGCATGCACACTGGGGGCTGGGGTGGAAATAGGATGGGGTAGACCACATGATTGGAAGAAAAGGGAGATTCCTCCCAAGCAATGGATCAAATGGAGATGCTTGGTAGTAAGCTGTTGGACATCAAGGTAAGATATTTGGAAAGAGAGAAAAAGGATTAAATCTCACTTTTTGATTGAGCTGAGGTGAGGATCCAATGATTTAGAGAGTGTAAAAATATATTCTTCCTGGGAAGTATTTAGGAGCTGTTTAATTCATTCACCAATTAATTCAACAAGCATCTATTAAAAACTATGAACTGCAGACCAGGTGCAGGGTTACGTCCTAGTGAAAACATGAT